GGGGGGGGGAACCCTTCTGTTGGGGGGGGTTTTCCCCCCCCCCCCCCCCCCCCCCCCCCCCAATCAGTTACTCCCACCTGTCATGACCATCATGTCCTTATCAGTTGTTATGTATGAAATTTCCTTTATTCACAGGATATCATCCAAGCCAAGCCTTCCAGACTACCAATATCCTCGCAGGAATTGTTTAGCATCCTCGATGATGCTAGTGAAAGAACATTTTTATGTGCTGGCACAGCTGAATCTATGCAAACGTTCGTTTTTTATGGAGAAACTACGAAAGACAGCACTGACTTGAAGAACCTTGTTGCTACTACTAGCTTCCTTCTTGAACAGAAATTGGTATTTGCTTTTACTTTTTCCCTCGTTACTTTTGGTTATGTCAATTCCTATCAGTGGATGCCCTTTTGTTTACCTGAAAAAGTAAGTTTGCACTGTAATCCAAATTTTGTACAACTTCATCTGGATATAAGGCAGGAAAGAACAAACAAACATGTTGGGGGCGACATTGATAACCAAGCTTTCTGTAGCTTCAACCAAAAAAAATTCGCTTTTGCAAATAAATGCATTTTGCTGAAGAAGGGAATTAGTTTTTTTCCCTTTTTGTTTGGCATCCTCTCCATAGTCCTCTTCGGCTTAGGTGTTATTTCTAACTTGAATATATCTCTAAAGTCGTTATGCTTTTATAACCAGATGAAAGCATGGATTGCTGACAAAGATGCAGAGGCTTTGAGGTGTCAGAAGCTCCTTGTGGAGGAGGAAGAGGCTGCACAGAGAAGGTAGATTTCATTTTCTAATGCACAAAGTTCTATGGAATGTACTGTTTAATTAGTACCTGGAGCTTGGTTTCTGTTTAGTTACATCTTTCAATGATTTTCTGTTAGGTGGTAAAACACACTGCTCTGGTGGTTTTAAGTCTTTTCAAACAACCAACCTTCTTCCTGATAGTCTCATATTTCCCTTATTAGTTTCGGCTTCAGTATCACGGTCTTTTATATGTTTTATCTCAATCAGTTCAAGTACTGTCTTTATTTTTCATTGGTTTTATTATTTCCATAAGTAAGTTCGGAAATGACAAAAGGATGATAGTTCCTTTAACTATGGACATGGTAATCTGAATATATAAAATTGATCATCTTACTTTAGGAATTTATAAATGGCTTCTGCAATCATTCAGGATATTATGAAAAAGTAAGAGTACTACATTTTCCAAAAAAAGATTATAATCTTTGATGGGATCTTTGGTTTGAGCTCTCCGGAATGCAAGGGAAAGAATTAATTGTCTCCCGTACTTAATTGTTCTTTTCTGATACCAGACAAGCACTGCTTTTAGAGAGGAAAAGACAGAAAAAGCGTCGTCAGAAGGAACAGAAAGTGAGGGAACAATTCGATGGATGCAATGAAGATTTGAATGTCATTGTTGATGTAGTAGACAGACCAACTTCAACTGAAGCATCTGGGCCTTCATCACCTTCAGATTCCAGCTCAAGCTTAACCGATAGGCCGACAAATCTCGATTCTATCTTAGAACCAATGCTGCCCCAGAGCAAGGAATCAGACCAAGATATCGAAGCAAATGTTGATTTTAGCACTGAACATGTCGAAAAAGGGGATTCTCATACTAAAAAACTCCAGATGGTTGTTGTCAATAGCCACCGACAGTTGACCACCAATCGCTGGCAGATTCCAAAGTCTCAAAGGAACAGCCAGCACGGACTCCATGTAAACCCAAATCTTCAGACCTTAAAACCTGAACCTGTACGTAAGCTTGGTCCATCCAAAGACCGAAGTTTAATGAATGGGAGCAAAGTTTGGACCAAGAAACTCAAAATTGATAGTGACGGGGAGAAAACGAAGCCACCTCCACTGCAGAGAGAGATCAGTCACCAGATTAAAGAAAATAATTGCGAAGTAATAATTGGTTCGATATCCGTCGCACTGAATGGTTGTGTTGCCCGGAATCAAGATAGTAGCACAGATGCACAAGATAATGGAAATACACAGCATCCAATAATCCTTAAGAAGAAAAATGCTTCAGAAAAGCCAGTGAAAGCCAATAATGTTCAGTCTGGCACCACTCGAGTGGCTTATAAGCTTTGGAGGCCTCGTGAAATTAAAAGCATCACCCCCGTTGATAGAGTCAATGGGGATTCCCAAATATCTGGCCAAACACGATTCGACGAGGATGCTGGTTGTGATAATACGAAGCAATATCGTGTACGTTCAGATGAAAATGGTGGACAACAGTGTATGCCTTTCTCAAGCAATGCTGCAAAAGAGTTTCTTGCAAAGAGTATGTCTATCTTGCCCTATACTACTCCGTAATTCGAATCTAAAAAAAAAAACAATTTGAATTACTTGACGAGGCTTTGTTCCTTCAATGATTTGTACAGGATGGAAGGAAGCAATCGCAGCAGACCATGTGAAATTAGTCCTCTCCAAAGGGCATGAACAACCACTTCCTGGGTGCTCTGGTAGAAGTGTTCAAGTTCAGTTCAGTAAAAAATCGGATAAGAGTGTGAAACTTAAATACATTCCTAAACAAAAAGCCGTTGCCTAAGAATAAATGCGAGTATACACATTTTAGCTTAAAGCCTATTTTCTTCACAAGATTCCAGTTTTACTAGAGGTCTTTTATATGAAATTTGGAGGCATGTTTTTCTTGAGGAAGTGGATTTTATTTTTTTCCGGGGGGTAGATTATGTAGGTGTGTCGTCGGGATTATTGCTGCACAGGTGAAGTAGGGTGTTCTGATTTTTTTTTTCCATTGATATGTTTCTTTGATGAATTGGGTTGTACTGTCAATTAGAGAGACTTAAGCGATTATCTGATATTTTTTGCCCGCATATGATTTAGAAAGGTAAATCATCGACTCGTAGTTACTACACAGTTTTTTAGAACTATTCCATTTATACTAATTTCTATTAAGATTGAAAATTTTGAAATGACATTCTATTGCGTTTATTGTTGTGTCCTGAATGATTTTGAATTAGTGTTGTTGGAGAAATGAGTATCTTATCATTGTTGTAAATATTGTATGACGAAGAAGATATATACTCATGTGGCGAAAAATCAGATGTTATAGTTGAAACTTGAATTGTAGGCATGTCGAATATATTTCACGGGTAAATTTAGAGGTAATGTTAAATTACGGAAAAATCCATTACGTTTAGGTAATTACAATCACTCCGCAGCTATAAATGTTCTTGCACGTTTATCCTTACGTTGTCAAATTTAGTGGAATTTTCTTGATTATGTGAAATATTTTTCAATTTGTACCCGTTTTATCCCATTCGGGCTTTACATTTTGAAACAAGATGTGTCTTTTGCTTTTTTGACTTTTAAATATCAGATTGTGGTGTATCGAAAACTGTATTTTAATACAAAATGACTTCAGACTAGAGAATGTTCTACATAATCGATTTTGTCCCATTTTCGTTAGTAAAATTGTATGTATATACCAAAAAAAATAATCCAATTTTTGGGGTCACTCCCTTGAGTTGCATGTGTAACATTCATCACCACAAATTGCTCCATGACTTCAATTTATTCAGAACCTAGCACTCAATACTCTCTCTCTCTCTCTCTCTCTCTCTCCCTATTCTATTCTCTCTCATCATCTATAACCTCTCTTTCCAGATAGCAATTACGTTTCACACAACAAAATCAGTTTATCCATTTTCATTTTACACTCTTTCCAACAAATCTTGTGCAGATTTTCAGTAGAAACCAAACCAACTGAAAAAATTCGAGTGAAGAAAAAAAATGTCAGGTGTAATCGGTCCAACAAGTGACGTAAGTCTCCCTAGAGAAGAACCGAACGAATCGGAAATAAGCAACGCCGCCATGAAGACCACAAAAAAGGTAACCTCCTCCCGCCGGAGTTTCTTCACTTTCCGGCATCTAAACGTTCTCGCGGTGGCGATACTTCTCTCCGCCGGCGGCATGGTGAGCGCCGAGGACATCGCATTCGTCCTCTTCTCCGTATTCTACATTTACTTCCTATCGAAAGTCGCGTTTCCACCCACTTCTTCACGCTCCGAGCCCCCGGTTTTCGGGGAGAAGAACACGATTTTAGGAATCTACGTCCTCGTGGCGGCGGTGATAGGTTTGCTCCTCCCAATTGCTTACATCCTGGAAGGTATATTCGAGGGGGAAAAGGATGAAATCAAGGCGGCGGCGCCGCACGTGTTCCTATTAGCTAGCCAAGTTTTCATGGAGGGGCTGTCGTTCTCCGGCGAATTCTCGCTGCCGATTCGCGTATTCGTGCCGGTGTTCTACAATTCGAAGAGGATTTTCACCATTGTTGAGTGGCTGAGGAGTGAGATTACAAAGGGGGCGGGTGTGGAGTACGGAGGGAGAAGCGCGTGGAGATTGGACGTGGGGAGAGGTCTCGCCGTTGCTAATATGGGCTTTTGGTGCTTCAATTTGTTTGGGTTTTTGTTGCCTGTTTTTCTACCAAAGGCTTTCAAAATTTATTATCACTCCATCAGCAAAATTAAGGACTGATTTTGTTATTCAAGAATTAAGGCCCATAGAGAATTTGGTCTGGCCCAATATCTGTTATGGTTTATTCAAAAAATTAAGAAATATCTATAATTTAAATAATTATATATTACTATAGTGATTTATATCCGTTACAGTATTTTAGTCGGGATGAAAAAAAATGTTCCGAAATCGAAAATTCTCAAACCGAATGGAGGAATTTGGAAATTTCGTTTCGATGCAATGCAGGTAGGCTTTCTAGCTCAGTAATGCAGAAGTCTTAGGCGTGCCTCTCACGTGTTCCTTCAGCTGAAGAAAAAACGTTTTTAAAAATGTTTTTATTAGTTGCTTAATCTCCCCAAAACGACGTCGCTCGCAACAAAATCCCCAAACTTGAAAAGCCCTAATCATCACAGTTTCACTCCTAAAAAACATATCAATTTGAATATAAGATCCCGGCATTATATGGGCTGGGCCATTGAGAGGTTTGCGAAATTAGAACTGAAATCGGAAAAATTGCACTGTGCATGTGATTTGATTGGGCCATAATTAATTCGGCCCGGCCCAAATAAATAAAATTTGATAATTTAAACAGAAACAAGCAGTAAGAAAGAGGGAATAGGATTTGGGAACAAAATCGGGTTAACCGTTTCTACATTTTTGTATGTTTATTGAGGAAAAAAAATGTGGTTATTCAGTAGAAAAGGGGCTTCTGGCTTCTCAGCTACGTCTACAGCAGAGCAAGTTACTGAAGGAATTGACGGGTCGGGTCTCACCGCCATTGTTACAGGTTTATATCTCTGTTGTAGAGTTTGATTTTTGTTTCATGTCTGCTGCTTATGTTGTTTCGATTTTGTTCGCCATTTGCTTTGAAGTGATTCGATTTCATCACATTACCTAATCATCATTCAAATCAACTATGTCGCAAGGGTTAATTTTTCGTGAGTTGAAATGTTTTAAGAACCCTAGAAAAGCGATTCACACTTTTAAAAAGGAAGTACAGCATAGATTTATATAGGCAATCGCCCTTGTACTAATTACAGGAGCTTCGAGTGGTATCGGAGCAGAAACTGCGCGGGTGCTTGCATTGCGTGGCGTCCACGTCGTCATGGCTGTCAGAAATCTCTCTGCTGGACACGAGGCCGAAGAAGCAATCGTCAAACAAGTTCCGAATGCAAAAGTCGATGCTATGGAGCTAGATCTCAGCTCGATGGCATCAATCATAAAATTTTCCTCGAATTTCAACTCATTGGGCCTTCCTCTGAATGTACTGGTGTAAGGAACATGTATCTCGTCAATTTCATATTCGATTTATATTTGTGTACGAACAAATTTTTAGTCGTCTTTTTATGTACTTTTCAATTATATGTTGCTAGGCATCGTTGTTTCATTACTTAATCTGTAATTATTGGTTTTGGACAATGGTTAGATTGAATAGCCGTTGTCTAAAAGCTGAATTTATCAATTTTATTTCACTTTTCGGTAGAAACAATGCTGGAGTTATGGCAACACCGTTCATGCTTTCAGAAGACAACATTGAGTTGCAGTTTGCAACAAACCATGTGGGTAAGATTTTTCATCCATTACGAACGGACTTGAATAGATCTCAGATTTCAATTGATTATAACGCCTGAACGTAATCCAACTGTTGCTTGAATTCCGGTAGATTATTTTTCGTTTGTCATCTAATTATCACTAATTTATGTAGTTTGCATAAGATGGTAATACTTTAGTGTAATCTTCATGCAGGACATTTCCTTTTGACAAATTTGATGTTGGAAACCATGAAGAGAACAGCTCGTGAAAGTAGTCGAGAAGGAAGGATTGTAAATGTTTCATCCCGACGGCACAAGTTTTCATATCCTGAAGGGATCCGCTTCAATAAAATTAATGATCAATCCGGGTAAAACCATCTAAAACACCGAAGAAATGTTAGTATATATCTCAGACGAAGGCATGTTTTCCTGCCTTTTTTTTGTCAGTTATGCTGCATTTGAGATCCATTTATTCTAGTGATTGAGAGTTAAATTGGCGTTTTAGTAAACAATGAGGCTTTTACACCTTTTTCGGCATTTTGTTTGAAGGAGAATAGTTTGTATCTCAAAAAGATTGATGAGAAAAAAAAGTGAATCGGGACTAGGTGAGAAATTGCAAGAGGCAGAGTTACCTGAAGAAGACCATAGTATTTCCCCAACTCGTGTTTTATAGTGTCCGAGATATGAGTGTGCTGCTTCTGTTTTTTCAGATGAAATATTCATTTACTGCTTGAAATGATGATCAGGTATAGCAGCCTATCTGCATACGGACAATCAAAGCTTGCTAATGTGCTCCATGCTAATGAACTTGCTAGGCTTTTGAAGGTAATTCACTTGCTAAAGTGTATTTAACATCTGCTCTAAAGTTGATCTTTACCTGCATGATTTACCATGTCAGTAGATGCATTTGTTATATCAATTTATAATAGTGTAGGTGATTTTGTTTTAGGAAGAGAAAGTGGAGATAACAGCTAATTCACTTCATCCGGGAGGAATTGCCACCAACCTATTCCGTCATCACAGCTTCATAAACGGTAATGTCTTGCCCACTTCTAAAGGTCGCGTTATATAAATGTTCAATCCAATTTCTCTTTTGGTTAATTCAGGTCTTATTGATGCTCTTGGTAAGCACGTGATGAAGAATGTTGAGCAGGTATTAGTTTTTTCCTTTTCCTTTTCTTCTCCCTATAACAATCTTTGCATGTCCTATATGTTTAAATGCTTCATCTTTTCATTTCACAAAATGTAAATATACGCCTACAATAAAAATATTAATGTAATGCCCCCAGGGCATTTAACCACTACTGTTTATATAGTTTGTTGAACCTGTGTAAGAGAAACTTTAAAATCCTTCGATATCTGACCGTAGATGTGAAATGATTTGCAGGGAGCAGCGACGACATGCTATGTAGCGTTGCATCCAGATGTTAAAGGCATGACTGGCAAATATTATTCAGACAGTAATCTGGCTGAGACAAGCTTGCAAGCCAGGGATCAAGAATTAGCCAAAAAATTGTGGGACTACACCCATAACCTGATAGACCAATGTAAAGTTTAATCAACATTTTTCATTCTACCAACTCAAGGAAAAATGTAAATACCCTTTTATAATTTCTACAAATTAACATTTTGTTCCTGTCACTTAACTTTTTCCACAAGTATAACTCTTGTTTTTTCTGATCTTTGTGCTTCATGAGAGAAAAGTTCTACAGCACCAAACCGTAGAGATATATTGTACAAGATATACAATTTTATTATTAAAAAAAAAAAAGGAAAAAAAGAAACAATTAATCTCCTCCATTTACTTTACACTGCAGTTGCATCTTGTAAAAACTGTGCAGCTACTTGTGATTTTTCGGGCCTGCTCTTCTTTTATACTCCAGCCGTATGGTGGTGGCTTGTATATAGAGAGGAAGCAGTCCTGTGAAGCTGCTGAAACACACGATCAGCCAATACTGAATGTTCATAAAGCCGTTCATTAGCAGCTGTTCTTCCAAGCTGGTTTCGTAGAGAATCTTTATCAGATGATGCCAAATCATGACCTGAACGCACCCCTCGCAGAATGTTGGGATCCCAGTATGGGGGATTGGGTGAATGCTTTGGGGGATTATTGAAACTCTCGTTCGGTAAAACTGATAGATTTAAATGATGATATGAGCTAGATTTGGGAAGCAGAGACATTTGGTGAGATGATCTTGGATGTGGAAGAGGACTACCCGCCGGAGAAACGGGCGTTGACATTTGGTGAGATGATCTTGGATGTGGAAGAGGAGTACCCGCTGGAGAAACGGGCGTTGACATTTGATGAGATGATCTTGGATGTGGAAGAGGACTACCCACCGGAGAAACGGGCGTTGACATATGGTGAGATGATCTTGGATGTGGTAGAGGACTACCCACCGGAGAAATGGGCGTTGATATATTCCTTGGAGCATAAATATCACTGGAGATGTGAAAAAATAAATGTACATAAAATCAGAGAAAAAAAAACTTCTAAGGCTAATTATTCAAGAAAATAAGTTTTCTATGGGAAAAGCAGACGAGACCTAAGCTGAAAATTTGATTTTGATGCTCCTGAGGAATGGACAGCAAGATTCCCAGGATCTAACTGATTTCTTGCATAATCAGTGCCCTGTAAAAGTGACTTACGAAGTAAAGCAACAAATTTTAGGACTAAACCGAAAAAATGTGAGAGCTGTAAATAGTACCTCTGACTTTACGCCATTTGTGACTGCAGGATGATATGAAGACGTAGAAGAAAGCAGTAATTGTTTCCCCAAAGGCGAAGAGCTTTTTACAAAAGGGTGTTCCAAAAGCCGAGACGCTGTAGCGCGGAGCTGGGGGTCCCACTGCAGGCATTGCCTCACAAAATCCTTGCCTTCATCTGATAAGTGATCTGGAATTGTTGGAAGTTCTTTATGATTTGCAATCTTGAACATGGCCACAACCTATAAACGCAGTAACAAAGAGATTAAAGCTTTTGTTCCTCGAATTCAAGCTATAGAAATAAATTCAATTTGGATATAAAGAAAAAGGAAAAATAAAAAATCTCGAGACTGAATCACAGCACCTCGTTGTAGTGGCTAATAGGTGGTTTTGATAAAGCCATTTCAAGAACAGTGCATCCGAGACTCCATATATATCGGCAGCAGGATTACGCACATTCGGATTCATTATGACCTACGCAAAAAGCAGTAAGAATGTATATATAAAACTTGCTATATAGAATATTAGGAAAAAATAAACTAACCTCAGGGGCCATCCAATAAGGGCTATCCATAAGCAATGATGGAATGTATTGCCCTGCCATCTGTAAAAACAACAACTCGTATAATTAAGTTGACTACCATATACGACACATTATCTGTTAGATAAACTAAAACCCCAACAAGATATGTTCTTTCTGCCGACTAACTAAAAGTTTGCAGTGAGCTGCCATTTACAGATTAATTAAGTTCGAAATTGAAGTTGATTTCTTACATGTTTTCCAATGCCAAAGTTGGACAACTTAACTCTGCCATTTGGGTCCACAAGTACAGAGGCCCCTTTAATATCGCTGCAACATTTATGCATCAGAATAGCATCATAGTAATGTTGAAAACAGAAGATGTAAATAACAATGGACAGTCCCGAGAAATGTGCTCCAGTTTACCTATGTGCAATCCTTTTGGAGTGTAGATATGCTAGCCCCAACAAAATTTGTTGAGCATAACTGCGGATGGCTGATTCTCCTAATCTTCCGTACTCTTGCAGAATCGTATATATGGAACCACCAGATACATATTCAAAATATATGCATAAATTATCGCCTACCTAATCAAGGAAAGGAATTTGATTTTGGAGTAGAAGTTAACGCAGAAAGCTGCATCACTAAAGAGAAGGATCAACCAAAATTGCTGGAATACAACTAACCGTTTCAGCTCCGTAATACTGTACAATATTAGGATGCTTTAAGGTACTCAACACAGCAATCTCCTGTAATGAATGGGGTAATTACAAGAAATTCCTCATTGACATTGGAATTGGAAAACAAAACGAAAAAAACAAACTCACTTTTTCCAACATCCTTGCCCTAGATTTTGCATCACCAAAGAATAAGGCAACCTCTTTCATAGCACACATTTCACCCTTTTCACTGAAACAACAAAAAAGAAAAAAAAAAGCTTAAATTGATTTGTCGAATGCCTAAAGGATTAGTATAAGTGATTCATAAATGCTTTAAAAACATAAGAATAACAAGCTCCTATTGATAAATCAACATAAATAACAACCATATCAAGAATGCAGAAAGGTGAAGAAAAGACAAGTATAGAGGCACATTTGAACCATATATCCCACCTATTAAAACCAAGGAATACGTCTCCGAGTGGGCCTTTACCAATCAACTTCCCTTTCTTCCAATGGCTGCTAGTGCTTTTTAGATTTTCAGTTCTATCAGGACTAAGCAACGGTGTCGAAGGTGATGCAGCACCTGAATTTGGACGAGAAAATGGCGGCAAATTGGAATTTGCTCCCGGAGGAAGAGGCAGCGGGTGGCTTTGATGTTTCCCATCATCAGACCAATTTCTATGTGATTCAGTGGGTCCCCCTCCAACTCTTGGATGAACCCTTGAACTGTGGATAGGACTTTTTGATCTAGGACTCGTCGTACTCGGGCGAAAAACCAGGCTTTCCCTAGTAGTTTTAAACCCACCCTGATGAAAATTATCTTGTTTTGGCACTTGAATCTTTAAATCCCTTTTCCTAGAAGGTGTAGATGTGACATTTTTATGATCCTTGACAAGAATGCTTCAACAAATAAGAAATATACGTTAAGAAAGGAGAAACATGGGTAATGTAAATCTTTTTTCTTTTTATATGCACAAAACAGGAAATATGGGAAATAAGAAAAACTCACACCTTGAAGAGGTGGATGCAGCCTTTTCACCATCTTCTTCATTCTGATTGGAATCCGACCATCTGGGACTTGATGTAAAGCTAAAGGGCACATCGTTGTCGTCCAGAGAAGAGTTCAGACAGAAACTGAAACTGAAACCAGAAGATGACTCGGAGCTGATGCTAGGGCTTCTAGATTGTTCGTGGAACAGTTGCCAGAGCTGCTCCTTTTTCAGAACAGCGGCGACGATTCTCTCCCAGTTGTCGTAATTCCTCGACATTTGTTGTGGTCGCAATTCGAGATTCAGCCCTAATCAAATCACGCAATAGTAATACTATAGCTCCCCCAAATGTTAGGTCAATCTGTGCCGATACTGAATTGGGGAAACAACTTTTAACGCGGAATCCCAGTGTTGTACTGTACTGTAAGCGAGTCGGATTTGACATTGACATCAGTAGTTGGAAGCTTCCTTCTTCCTTCTCTGAAACACAAATGTGAAGACAAGGATACAAGCTCGTTTTCTACACAAGAAGAAGACGACGGTTTGTCCACTTGTCTCGAGGATGGGTAAAATCGTAAAATTGACTAGTGTTTTATTGGGAAAAATACAGTTTTGGTCCCTCAGGTTTGCACCAATTTCATATTTGGTCCCCCATGTTCACAAAAAAATACATTTGGTCCCTCATATTTAAAATAGTCAACACTTTTAGCTATTTTTGTCAATTTTTCGTTAGTACTGACGGAATCAAGTGTTTGTCCACCACTGCCTTAACTGACGGAGTGACGGTAACTGACAAAATGACCAAAAGTGTTAGATTGGTGAAATATGAGAGACTAAATGTGTTTTTTGTGAACATAGAGGACCAAATGTGAAGTCAGTGCAAACTTGAGGGGTGAAAGCTGTAATTTTCCCTTGTTTTATTTGAGTTAAAGCCCTCAACATTTCTGTCCCTGGGATTCTTCTCAAATAGTCCCTCAAAATTAACATACATGGCCGTTGACTAAATAATTTTTGTTCTTCTACCCTCCTATGCAAAAAATGGAGATATACATTGTATGTACAATTGAAGCTATAGATAACAACATAGTTGAAAGTCAAATCATGCGATGATAAGTCAACGGGGAAGTAGGAGACAGGTCGTGAGATGGATTCCGTTTCGTAGGATCCCTAGTGAGTTGTTGTTGAGAGGAGGCGGTATCAGCCAAGACCGAGGGTCCATCGTAAAGTTGTTGTCCACGAAAAGCATGTGATCCTGGCTGCTGCTGCTGGACCGGACGCTTGTGGTGAGGCTGCGTTGGCAAATTACGAGAAGATGAAGGTGTGGATGCACCAGACTTGATACGGGGGCTGCAAATCGGTGAAGGGGACATCCTTCCACCATGTACACTAGGGCTCCCAATCGGAGATACAGGCGATGACATGTTCCTATGGATATAAATATCACTGCAAATTTTCAAAATAACCACAGTACAAGTGTGAGTGACTAACAAGGACGAGAGAATGAGAGAGAGAAAGAGAGGGAGAGAGAGAGACCTGAAATGAAAATTATTTTTTGATACTCCAGGTGAGGGGATATCGAGTCTCTTCGTATCCAAATGCTGATGACTTCTTCCATTGCCGGTGTCCTGTAATTAAATAATGCAGAAACCACAATATCAATAATGCATGGTACAATATTAAAAGATAACAAGCACAAACTAGAACAGATTCTCTGCAATTCTTCTGAATGTCTGTATACGAAATTCAATTTCCCCGTTTTGTACCCATGAAACAAAAAGACCAATATATTCGCATTTGTGAAGTATATGCCACAAATTTACGAGGAGAAATCTTAGCACAGGCAAAACAAGAGTAATATAAAAAAAAAAGTACCATGTATTTTACAGCATTGGTTAATGCAGGATGATCTGAGGAAGATGGTTTTGACGCTTGTTTTTCGAGAGGGGCAGCAATTTTCACAAAAGAGTGCTCCAAAAGCTGCGCGGCGGTAGGACGGTGTAAGGGATTCCGCTGCAAGCATAACCTCACAAATTCTTTCCCTTCATCTGAAAGATGATCGGGTATTGCCGGAAGTTCTTTACTATTTCCAATCTTGAACATAGCTGCTACCTTTGTGCACAAACAAACACACCACATCAGATTTAGTCTTGCACACACACTCATATGTCAAGACACGTACGAAAAAAGAAAATCAATTCCTGAAATAGAGTTCAAATTACAAACCCCTTCATACTGGCTCCAAGGAGGTTTTGATGTAGCCATTTCTAAAACAGTGCAACCAAGACTCCATATATCAACAGCTAGGCTACATCCATTTGAATTCCTTATAACCTAAGTGACAAGTACAAAAGAAATATCGTTATGCCAGCTGGAAATCAAGTATTGGGAGCATTGGGTTGATAAAAAAAAAATAAAAAAAAAATTATATATATCCAACTAACCTCAGGTGCCATCCAATAAGGGCTACCTTTTAATGAAATTGAAGATGATTTCCCTGTAATCTATAACCATGCATGTAGTGTAAGTACATAGAGAACAAAATTCCATTGAAGATGCCAATTTAAAAAAAAAAAAACGCAGACTTACATGCTTTGCCATGCCAAAGTCTGCCAGCTTAACACGTCCACTTGGGTCCACGAGTATATTGGCCCCTTTAATATCCCTGCCGTATACGTGAACCATTAAATGAATGGGGATAAAAGTTCACTGATGAATAAACAATCCAAGAAAGGTAGTAAAGGAGAAATCGATCCAAAAAAAGTATCGCATATACCTGTGAACAGTATTTTTGGCATGCAAATAAGCAAGCCCTGATAAAATTTGTTGAGTGTAACTACGGATAGCTGATTCTCCTAGTGCTCCATACTCCTGTAGAATCTTATGGATGGAACCAGCAGATACATATTCCAGGTAGATATACAACTTATCGTCCATCTGATAAAAAAAGAATTCAAAATGCATGAGTATAAGTAACATAACTTCATGCACCGTAATGGGAGTAATATGTACAATTTACAACAAATTCAACTTTTCAGGCATCAGCATTTTCTTATCAATTAGAGTATGTTTTAGTGCTTCTACAATTACGATCTCACAGAAAGTACCATATATGAAATGACTCCTAAAAAAATCGACAATCAAATTTCAAAGCCAGATTAATAGATAGGTGTTTCATAGGCATTTAGTGTATAGCAACAGACATTAAATGGCTCACAAATGATGCTGCACTATATGAAACCAAAATTGATAAAAACAACTGACCGTTTCAGATCCATAATACTGCACAATGTTAGGATGCTTTAAACGACTTAACAGCGCAATCTCCTGAATAAACAGAAATAATTGTCAGAAAAATCCATACACCTTATAAGAGAAGTCGAAAGACAACAGGTCGAATAAGCATCTTCATAAAATTTAGTGGTCGAAAGACTCACTTGTCCCAACTGCTTTGCACTTTCCTTCGACTTTGCATCATCAGCAAATAGTGTGACCTCCTTCATGGCACACATTTCGCCGGTTTCTCTGTAATCAACAGACACCGTGCTTAATCAAAAAGGAACTTCAAGAAATGTAGAATAAAGTAATATACTCATCCAATGATTTATTTAGGATATGACCAAATGAGTAGCATAAATGAAACAACAACTGTGAGTATAATTCCATGACTGAACAAAAGAATGCAAGCAAACCTTATATGTAAATTAAGGAAATAAAAAAGGAGTCATGCTCATAAGATTATGCACCTATTAAAACCAACGAAAACGTCTCCAAACGTGCCTCGACAAAGCATCTTTCCTTTTTTCCAACGTGAGACAGAAGGGTTTGCAAGATTATCTGCTCTTCCAAAACTCCTTTGCACAGAAGGTGATGTCGCAGCTGAATTCGTACGAGAGAAGGGCGACGAATTGGAAACTTTTATGGGAGGAAGGGGCAGACGATGACTTTGTTGTTTAACATCATCAGGCCAATTACTCTGTGGTTCAGAATGCCCCCCTCCATCTCTAGGATGAAGTGGTGTTACAGCACCACTATGAATTCGGGAACTAGGGCCAGGACTTCTCAATCTAGGGCTGGGATTTGGTGAATATTCTGGACTAACTCTGGTAGAATGCCAAAATAATTGCCCCGCCATATCTCCTCCCATTGAATTATGCCCAGATGTCTGACCTGAGCAAGGACTGGAGCATTGACCAGATCCAAGAAATGGACTTATAGGACTTCTGGAGGGACTAGAAATTGAGCTATCTGGAGCACTGAAAATGGCATCACGCCGAGGAACCTGTATATTTGGCACTTGCCTATTCAAATGACGTCTTCTAGGGATTGAAGAGGAGACCACCAAAACTGGTGACTCCTTTGAAGCCACAGGTGCAACAGTGAACAGATCCTTACGTGAATGGCTTCAGTGAGAAAAAAATACAGGGAAAGGAGTCAGTTTACCAAGACGAACATAAATACCCTTCTACATGGATAAAATCCAAATGAGAATGAATAAACTAAGTACAATACATCTATGCATTCTTTGAAACTCCCCTCACCTTGAAGGACTGCCAGCAGCGATTCTACTCACAATATCGTAATCATTCGCCAGAGGACTGTGTTGATGTGAATCACCTTGATCGTCACTCTCAACGGAACATATACTAGAAATAGAAGCAACAGCCAACTCACCATCGAAGTCAGTGGGGTCCATCCTGCGGCGTATGCATGCAGGCCTTAGGATTAGCGGAAACAGTGAAGGTTTGGAGACCCTTTGTAGTTTCGGCTTAGCTGATTCGCTTATTACAGAATTTGTACGTCTGATATTTTTAGGATGCTGGCAAGGCAGGGGAAGTGGTTGGCATACTGGCCTTTCAACGAAACTTTGACATCGTGCTACATGTTTGGAAGGAGACGAAGACCTTGATTCGGCTCGTGACTGAGAAATTCTCTCCGAAACTTTGTCTCTTGATTGTCTGTTAGATACTCCTGATTTAATGGAGGATTTACTTTCAGGATTCTTGCACTTCTTTTGTAATGCGTCGATAGAACTTTCTTGAGCTGCTTTCTTTTTTGCTTCTTTTGACGATGACTTCCCCCACCATGAAGGCATGTTTCTGAAACAAAAGATTGGAAAACAAGAGGCCCTGCTCTCAATAAATTTAAATATATTATCTCCAAACTAATAAGCTTTCTTCAACTCATCCTATCCGTTAAAGCTGCTTCATATTTTAATTGAAGAGAAAAAGTTCAAATCTTAATTTAGGTCACAACATATGAACTTCTTATCTTTATCATATCAAATTCCATAAAGTAAAAAATAGAGCGTTCAACCCATTGAAATCTATTGCAAATTATAACTTACATAACGTTTAAAAAAACTTCTGGAAACAGGACCAACTCTAGATTTTTTATAAAAATATTTTACAAGACTTTGCAAACGAGAAAATACAGAGGGGCAATATATATTTAATATATTCTATTTTAAAAAAAAAATTAAGAACTAGCAGAACGTTGAAACTGAATTAACGAAACTGAAAAATCATTATTCATCAAAATTTATGAATTAATACCACTGGCAACTCAATAACCAACTACAGCGATAGAATTTCTCTCACCATTACCCAAGCAGCTCCTCACTACAGATCTACACACAATTCACAAATTCCAGGAAAAAAAAATAATGAACTCAATAAACGGAAGTAAAATTCACAAGAAACTCGGTAACTCACCTCAAATCTCAGGCTTTCACATCACAGAATCAAAAAAATAAAATAAAAAAATCTCACTTCTTCTGACAGAATCTCCCAAATTTGAGCGCTTGACGGCAAAATGCTTAAAAACTACGCCTCACACAGAATTAAGCGGTCGTTTGTTTGTATCGATTCAGATTCTTCTGACGAGAATCGAGATCACTGTTTGAGAAGAAGACGATGAGGAGGATCGAAACCGAACCGATCGTATTTGATTATTAAATAAAAATAAATAAATAAAAAATGGGGGTTGTCGAGTATTAAAGAATAATATATAATTCAATAATACTGGGAAGGGAAATATTAGAGTAGAAAATCATCTTCATTTTCTATTAAAAGGAGAGGACGCTGGTTTAATTCAATTGTGATTTTGGTAATATTATGATGTATTTTTGGAATCTTTACGTACTTTCATTTGAAAGTGACACACTTTCCATCTTTTTTACTTAAATAAAATACTAATTATTTCAAATATTGTTTTAGACAGCACACCAAGTAGTACTCAAGTGACCGTTGCGTTGGGTATTCAATTATTCTAGGGTTTTTAATAAGGAAATATCATTAATACTATATTTAAATATTTATCCATCTAATTTAAAACTGAATTAAAGATTCCTGTATTTGTATTTTGTCGAACCAGAAAAGGGGTATTTAGCTCGTAAATCTCTTATGACTAATTTCGTATACTAAACGATTTTCAGCATTGAATCTCTTCAATATTTAGTTATTTATAAGTTCATCAGCCGGTTCAGCTCGTTTACACCCGTAGTTGTAATAATAATGTAAAGTGAGGAGGGGCATTCTATACATTTCGTATCGGTTAGAGAGCTAACTCTAAACAAAACTTTGTAAAGGGAATTCCATACATTCCATATATTATCAAAAAATACTGCAAATCAAATCAATTACATTATAAGAGTCGAATCAAAGTATCAATACCACCAAAAACATAATTGCATTGAATAATATAGTCTCAATATCACTATAAAGTTGTTGGAAATTGCATTGAACCGTCGTTAATGTATTTGGTATGGGTTACCACAATTTCTATTTTATATCATTTCCAAAAATAACCCTTCCCCTCTCTTTTTTTCTTAATAATAATAATAATTATTATTATTAAAATTTACAACTGCCCCATGAGGTAAGGTATATTTATTAATAAAACCCTCTTTTTCCATAATTATGTGTACCCCTTGAAATTTGTAAATTTCTTACATTAACACCCTTTTGTAGGGTGTGATGTAAGATATTTACAAACTGCAGGGGCCTGTATGTAATTTCTAACAAAATGAGGATTTTTTTGTAAATTGACTTTACCTCAAGGAGCTGATTGTAATTTACCCTTCTTATTATTATTACCATCTTTTTCTTTGGTAAAAAACATCAAATGTTTTTTCCAATATTGTTATCCAGGTTTATTAAAATGCCTGCATGGTGAGTTCTCAATTTAAATGCATAATGTATTCACTTTCCATTTGAGTTCTCAAAATTACAGCAAAAGAACCTCAAATTCAGACAGTATATATATATAAAAATATATATATATGTATGTATGTATGTATATATAGGGGCATCATCAATCATCATCATCATAATCATCCTCTAATGAGTGTCAATCCAATAGCTGTAATAATAAGTGTCGAAGGAGCTCCGAATTTGAGATGACTCCAAAACGATAAATTGTATCCCAAGAGTGGGGCCCGCCGGGCCTGCTCGCAGACGATCAAATTCGCCGCCGATCCCAATAGGGAAAGATTCCCCGCTACAGTGCTCACCCATGCTAATATGAGCCACGCCTTCTTCTCACTCGCCGGAGATATTGCCGCTGCCGATGCCGCCACTCTGGCTCCTAAAAGCAGCACTGCACACACAAAAAAAAGTTAAAAAAAATCAGGAAATTTAATTAATTAGTCTTGATGGTGATTTTTTATCAGGAAATTTAATTACCTGTCGGTACATTAGAAGCCAAATTCGAGAGAACGACTATAACGGCTGCTAAAACAGCTACTCCACTTATATGATCAAGTTTTGCATAAGGCTCCATGAAATCCCACAACGAGCTCGGAATTCCCGTTTTATTGAACCCTTCGACCGTAATAAACATTCCACAAAAGAATATCAAGAGCGAATACGATACCTGAAAGATTAGTATAAACTAAATTTAAATAATCACTCAATTAAGGCATTCAATTGTATGTAATATAGTGTATATATATATCACCTTTTCTAGACAAGGCCTAGCATCCTTAAAATCGAGTACTATGAGAGCGAGTGCAGCTGTAATTGCAGTCCACGACATATTCAGACCGAGCAATAATGATATCAGCATCCCTAAAGTAACAAGATAAACACACGCCTTCCATAAAACCCTCTTCCATTTCTTGGAAAATCCCAATCTTTCTTCGGCAAATCCTATAAAATTATCGTACTCAACAACCCCGTTTGGAGATGAGTTAATTTTCGGAGGAATAAAAATCCCGGGATTCCCGACTTCCTTTTGAATTTCGCTTCCACTAGAATTTCCCAACCCATGACTTAGCCTCTCGATTTTAACACTAGGAGAGGTTTGAATACTATTGCTCTCGGTCAAATAACTCCGATTCCTCAGAGTCGACTCTACGTTAGTAGACTTCATCGATTCCAAGGCAGACTCAAATTCTTGAGAATTCAACGATGTGGGGTGCGACATAGTTGCTGGAGAAAACCGATGAGAGTCAACATCGTTTTCTGCAACAACTTCCGGAGCAGGGTCCTCTTCATCTTTTTGAACAGACAACAGCTTCCAATACATACATAGTAGAATCAAAGCGTTGACAAAAACACCCACGAGCATCGCAGGGAATATTCCAAACAAAAATTCCCCAAAAGTGATCTTACTCAGAACCGCAATAACCAAGTTCTGAGGGTTCCCTATCGGAGTAGCCGATGAGCCTATATTGGCGCTCGAGGCGAGCGCCAATAGAAAAGGGTGAGGTGGCAGATTGTGCTGGCGGGCGATTTTCAGGACAAATTCGGTTAGGACAACGCAAGAAGTGTCGTTAGTGAAAAGTGCGCTGGAAATAGCCGAAATCAGGCAGATTCGACAGAGTAAGTCTTTGGGGCCTTGGCTTTTGTATGAGAGGAGTTTGCCTAAGTACTTGAACATATCAGCTCTTTCGAGATAGACACTAACCACCATTGTGCCGAAGAGTAGGCCAAGAATGGGGAGATCGATGGCGGCATATGCTTCGTCGGGATTTACGACTTGGAAAAGAACCATTAGCATTGCCCCGAGAAGAGAGCCCGCGGTTCGACCAATCGGAAGAAACGGGACGGAAGGGAAAACTGCTAATACCCAGAATATAGCAAAGGCAATTGAGCCAAGAATTACTTTTACAGTAGGGGCCATAGCCATTGTTTGTAAAGATTGAAACTTTTTATTACACCTACTTCAGATCTTCCCCAAACAGTACCTTTTTCAGTTCATGATTGTTGGGAGAAGGTATAAAGGTGGAATCTTTATTACAAATACTTCATCTGGGCAACCTCAAAATCACACCTCATACACACAGTGGTGTGTAAATTTGAAACCCCAGCAAAGTAATTCCATTGCAGACATGAAAATCTGAATAAAAAAAAACCCAGAAAAAAAAAAGTGGTTCATCAACACACAAAATGAAAGGGTGCAAGATTCTTGAATGATCATCAACAAATGTGCAAGAAATTTATTACATCTACTAACTATATTCAAGAAAAGTAAGAAGCAAATAAAAGCAGCCCAAGAAAGGCATATATCCATGAACTTAATTAAACATCATAATGTATTGAGTAAATATCAAAAAACAACTGAACCTGGAAAAAAGATTTGATCTTTCCACAGAGGAAGTCAGCCAAAAAGGCTGGCACTCAAAAAAGATTGTATATTATGACTTTTAATGGCAGTTATTAACTTACTCTTCATGTGATTCTGGTGGTGCCCAAAAAGCTTTCACCTTTTCGCCTATTTATTTTGGATTTGAACTGTGATAGAAATAATAATAAATTAAGGCAAGTGATTATTATTAAAAAGATTTGTGAATACGTGGGTTTCAGCTCTGAACTTGGGGACAAAGCTTTTCAAGACACGTCATAGCACACATGCTTTGTACTTGTAGTCTCATCTGGATTCTCTTGGCTGTGAGAAATTGATATTGCCAGGTATGTTTTCACTGCTTCCAGTCTCAGTAATCTGGATGAGGGATGTATTGGAGATAGAACATTTGATCAACCAGGACTTCTAGTTCTGAATTCTGATGTTGTATTAAATTAAAAGAAAATCATTGGAAAAATTAATTAATTTTATTTTTAATTGTTTAATTAATCATCAATAAGTGAGGAGATTGATTGTGGTTGACATATGGTCGGCTCTTGCAATCAATCAAGTTTTATATTTCTATAGCCATCTTAATCATCTCAAATTATTATTATTATTATTATTATTATTATTATTATTATTATTATTATTATTATTATTATATGTAACTATAGAGTTAATTTAGATACAGTAAAATAAATAAATTATTTACATATATATGAGAAAAATGTGGTGTTTGTAGACTGTAGTAATAATAATATGTAATGTAATATAATGCATGGAAGAATTACAGGCCAAACTGTATCGATTGTAACATGACAGTGACAGTGAGATCCTACCCCAGCTATTAAAAATAAAATATTATGTATATATTATTTTAAAATACAGCTATTAAATAAAATATTTGTTCCCACCACTAATATTGACTTTTTTTATTTACTTAAGCTAATCATATCAAGCACGTATCCATTTTTAATTTATGTATGCATTGTCCAAGAAGATCCCTTCCCCAGTACATATTATATGTTATGATATTTACACAAAATTACATGTTAAAGCCTCATTGGTTGTTAAGATTAATTAAGATACAACTAAATAATTTAATAAAAAATAATATAAGATAAGAAAAATTATGAGAATATAATAATCAGTGGTCGACTGGTCGTAGTCAATAAAGATATCATGTATCAAACAAAGTCCAATTATTTAATCAAAAACTAATTTTCTCTACCAAACGAGGCCTAAGCAACTTATAACCACATTGTATTTTGAAAAATGTCATCTTCCTAATTGAGCATATGATTATTTACCAAGTGGAATATCATAGGGGATTGTGTGCTTATATTAAAAGTATAAGGGGTCATGTGAACAAAATTCAAACTACAGAGGGGACATATGCTTATATTAAAAGCATAAGGGGCATGTGCGCAAAACTCAAATTACATGAGTGTTAAAGTGCTATTTACCCTTTTTATTTTTTCAATTATTACCATTTGTTCGGGCCTTGGCCCATTAAGTATAAATTACAATTGGGAGGTGATATTCGCGGTAGCAAAATTACGAATGTCGTTTTAAAAAATCCACTCTCTATCTTTCTTTCTCTCTCTACAATTTTAGCTTTTATATTAGAAATCATTCCAAAACTCATGTTATTGTAGCCATTTGCAAAAAAAAAATTAGTGCATCGAATGAGGATCGAGATACGGAATCCAATGAGGTAAAATTTGTTCGTTTTTGTTCTTTAAATCGTGAAAACGCGACCCACGACCAATTTGGACGCCGAAAAATACGATTCACGCCCAAACTAGGCGCAAAAAACTCGATTCACGCCCGGTTTGGGCGCGGAAAAGCACTTCCGGCGCCCGGTTTGGGCGCCCAACACAGCTATCCGCGCCCGGTTTGGGCGCGCGTGCTGAATGAGTTTAAATAAAAAAAAAAAAAAAAAAAAACCATATATTTGTGCTACTATAGGGACTCGAACACGAGCTTCTTTTGCTAAAGTTGTAACTTACCTAACCAGCTAGGCAACAGTCAATTTAGTTATAAATTCTTATTTAACAATAATTAGCCATTTCATTATATACTGGGGAAAAAATAAACAAATACGCGCTGCTACCATGACTCGAACACGGGTCTATTGGGTAACAGACAAAACGCCTGGCCAACTAGGCTACAGCGAGTTTGTTAACTAGAACTTATTTAAGTATATTCATTCAATTCGTTATACTGGGCAAAAAAAAAAAAAATGAACCGGACGACCGGTCCAGAACCGGCGTCCGGACCGAACGCCCGAAGTAATTTTCCACGCCCAAAATAGGCGTGGGAAAGCAGTTTCCACGCCTGGTTTAGGCGTGGAAACTGCTTTTCCACGCCCATTTTGAGCGTGGAAAATTCGAAAACCCAACACTAAAAACAGCCCAAAATCGCGATTTTCATGGGATTTTCACACGATTAACTTTAAATTCAATATATATAACTACTTTAGATGATTAATTACGTTTCAAATTGACGAGATTTTTAGATTTGGGATGATTTGTGATGGGATGATTTGTGAGAGAGGTAGAAGATTTTTGTGAATTTTGGGGGGTTTTGGGGATTTTGGGGTTTGGGTAGATTTGAGGATTTTTAGAGAGAGAAAGAGAAGACTATTGTGAACGACGTTCGTAATTTTGCTGCCGCGTAAATCATTTCAGATTACAATTTTGCTTCGGGCTTTAATTGAAATTGAACGCAAAAACACGGACACTTTTAACTAAAAAAAGTCCACACAGAAACGGTGGTTTCGGGCCGTATTTTCTCACCTACTACTCAAAGCCACATTAAATACGTGCCGTAAATATCATAAAATATTTAAAACATTTTTCTTAATAAACATAAAAAAAATCAAAACGACGTAGTATCTCCACCATTTTCATGCCTGAAACTACCTCCCAAATCGAGCTCAGGTTTTTGACTTCCGTGTGACCAGTGACAATGGCGTTTGCTATTTCCACTCCAACGTCGTCTTTGCTGAATTCCTCTTCTTCTTCCGCTGGTGTGAAAACCTCATCCTTCTGTTCATTATCGAATTCCGCAATTCAAATCCCTAGAATTACAATTTTTCATCACAGTAAATGCATTTCCCAATTGGGCTGTGCTTCCTTTTCTCAGTGGAGTGGACTTAAGCTCGTCGGCATCTCAACTTCACAATACTTAGTAAAATTGGGTAATCTGTTTTTTTTAAAGCTTTTTTTTGGTTGTTGCTGCTGTTTTCACTTGATTTACTGAAGTATATTACTATTTGGGATAAATTTAAATTATGATTTTTTTTAGTTATTTTTGGCAAAGGTATCTGCTGTATGTGTTGTTGAATGTATTGAGGTGGTGTAATTTTGCAGAAAAGAAGGGAAAATGTAAAGGTAAAGGAGTGTATGCTTCTTTATTTGGAGTAGGGGCACCGGAGGTACTGGTAATCGGGGTCGTAGCTTTGTTAGTTTTCGGACCAAAAGGTCTTGCTGAGGTTAGTTTCTTTCTACTGCACTCTTCTTTATTTCACAGTCGGTTTGCAGTCGAATTCCTGTTGCTATTCTATCTGGATTGTTTCTTTTAATTTTTATTACGTTGCAATAGTTGGTGTCTTCTAGATTAAATTAACTTGATCCGGAAAACGACGAGTTTGTGACCACGATAATTCTCAGTAGTTACTGCTAGACAGGCTTCAGTTATATACTTCTAGTCAAATAATGATAATGGGCTATCTTTTGGTGTTTGAGCTTAATGATTATCTCTTTTGGCCTCGCTTCGGATTTTGATTAGATTGAATTTGTTAGGATTACGCGGTCTATGATAATGTAATATGGGGTTATCTTATGTTTGGGTTTTGGGATTATACAATCCTTGTATTGGATAGATATCCTTCAGAAGATTGTGTAACAAATAGATCTGAGTTTGGAGTAAGCATCGTGTCTTTGATTAGAATCTGGACACTTTTCTAATCACGTGACTGAAAGCTAAACCCCAAACAATTGACATACCTTGATTATATTGTCTATGAAGTCCTATCCTAGTTCCCAAACGAGGCCTTTGGGTGCGACTGAATCTTGAAAACAAAGTAGTTGAGTATGGAATTGTGCTAAAATATTAGTGATCTGTCAATGAAATGATTGCCATTGAAGCTGAAATAAAATGACTATGAAATTTGGTGATGTTAATATGGGTGGTGGTTATTTTGAGCTCTCGTTTGACGCTCTGCCATTCTTGACTCTTGACTCTTGAGTCATTATAGTAATTTTTTGATTTGAGGAAATTAGGGAAGGGGACGATAAACAAGTATTTCAAAGTACTTGATAGTGTTGATACAAAAATATATTTCCGATGCACCGCAATGACTCAGAAAACCGTTTTAAAACGAGAACAAAAAACTTGGATTTCATTGTAGAATGACTTTATCCAAGATCGATGAATGTTATTATGATGTGTATACGGTTCTTGATTTCAAATTCTTCTATCCAAACAAAGCCTAACTATGGCTTTATGATGATAGGTTGCTCGTAACTTGGGACAAACTTTACGTGCTTTCCAACCTACAATAAGAGAACTTCAGGTGGGCCCTCCTTGCTTTCTCTTTCAACTTCGAAAGCATAGATGTTTCTTGTGTATTCGATAATGAGATCTGAATGTTGTCCTACCGATATTATTTTTTTTGTTTTCTTACAGGAAGTTTCGAGGGAATTCAAGAGTACCCTTGAGCGTGAAATTGGTCTTGATGATATTGACAAACCATTGCCGAAAAGTTCCGGTCCCAACACAACTAAACCTACATCAGAGGCTGCACTAGAGAATTTGGGGACGAATATTGAACCCAGTGAGTGAAACGGAAATTTCAATTAAAATTAAAAAAAAATCATTTTATTATTCAACTGTGAAATGTGTTTTGCTAGTTCCTTATTTATTTATTAGACCCACATCCAAAGATCATTTCAACTCAAATTACGAGCTTGCAGAATTACAGACTTCGTTCTTGAAAAGTATTAATTGAATTATTGTTTATGGTTACGATGGGGAATGTTCTACAAGCGTGGCTTTCTATTTTGATGCAAAGGTTTGTCGGAAATTAAAGAAAAAAAAACATTGTGAATTTATCTTTATTTATGAGGTTACTATATTTTCCTTTGTGGTAGCTGTTCGATAAGAAATGTCAAGATTTATCTGTAAACGAGATTCATTTGCTCCATTCTTCAATAAACGCAGATGGTTCTTCCTCTGAAAATGTAGAAGACCCGAGTGATAAGTACTTAAATGTGAAGGCTGACCGATTTAGAGGAGCACTTGCCCAGCTGCAGAAAGAGCAAGAAGAGGAGGAGAGAGAGAAAGCTCAACTTCTGGAGGAAACGGAACTGAAATCAGAGTCGCAAACTCCCTCTTCTCAAGGTCAATAAACATGCTTCATTCTCTCTCCTCTCTCTCTCTATATGTGTGTGTGTGTGTATGTGTGTGTGTGTGCGCGCGTGTAATGTTTATACATGAATATTTTCAGATACCCCTCAAGCTACAGAAGTTGATACTCAAGAAGCTTCGTCAGTGACAAAATCTCCCTCTGAGAATCTTGACAAGAATGATGCACTTCAAGAAGCTGCTTCGGTAGCATCTGTGGGCCCACCTCCAACCACAGAAACCCAAATTTGAAACTCCAAAGCAATTTTTTCGGTACGAGAAAAGACGAGGTATGTGTTGTAGTGCGATAGCCATTTGAAATGCCGGCAATGAGTTGGAGCTGGAAGCGTTTTTTTGACATTTATTCTCCGGTTCGAGTAATATTATTTGTATTTTGTACTTCAATAAATCTGAGTGTGAAAATTGTTAATTGCTTCTACTGTTACGTACCACGAATGATCATAGCCAATAAACGATTGTGTTTGCGTTCGATTACTCGGCAATCGTTGCATTATCGTAGACAATAGTATCGTAGTCGCCTTTATTTTGACATAGTCGACGTGCCTATTTCATGTATGACTGTATCGTTCGCATTATTTGTTTTTAATTTGGTAATTTACCACGTTAGAGCAACTCCAATGCGGTTATCAAATAGAGTATTCGAACATTTAACCGACTAAATAAAATACAAATACATTAATACATTTTATTCTTATAATTAAAATCAAATAAGAAAAAAGTGCCAAACACAAGTCTTGTTTAAAAGACAATAAACACACACAAAAAAAAAAACAATCAACGGCGGTTAAACTCCGGCGATCTTCATTAGGGTTTAAATCTCCATTAAGAACTCATCGTCTTTCTCCAGCTTCTCCATAGCCTTACCTTCCAAACTGATCTCAACATCAATGCTCCTCCCTCCACTCTTCCCCGGATACAGGTACACCATTCCGTCGAACCGGTTATTCAGCCCGCTCCGAACGCTTTCCGGCCCGCCCCACCCGAAATCCACCTCGTAGACCTTGAACCGCGGCGAGCTCCCCACGGCCACGCAGTTCACGCCGGCGTCCTTGTACTGGAAGATGATCGGATTGCTCTCCCACTCATCGTTGCGTTTGTTGATAGCCTCCGCGTTGTGTGATTCGATCGCTGTTTGGATCAGCCCCGCCCCGAATTCGACCGGGTTTCCCAGGACCAGACCCGCCCCGGTCACCGTGAAGATCGCCTGGATCAGGTTCCCGAAGTAGCTCTCCGGCATCGGCGGATCCACCCTCTTACGGCAGTCGGCGAACACCGTGAACACGGTGTAGTCCGTGGGTGCGAGGTCGCGTGCGCGCGTGACCGCCTGCCACACGTGCGCCGACAGCGACTGGAACGTGGAGTAGGGTTTCGGCGGGTTCCCGGCGTTGACCTTCGCCTTGATCCGGTCAATGGCTGATTCAGAGAACTTGAACACCTTCTCCCGGAGAGGAGGCTCCGATTTGGCTGCGCCGCCGTTGGTTTGCGCTGAGTTGGCATGTTCCGGCGCGTCGGATGGCTGGGTGAGGTTGAGCTTCACTCTGGTGCTTCGCGCCTTGGTGCGCTCGAGGAAGGGTGGGACCGCTACCGTGTGGGCCCCCTTGCAAATATCAGCCCACGAGCTCATGAAGTGCCACGTGGAGGTACCATCAAGTATTGCGTGGTTGAAGGTACAACCCATCACCAGCCCATCCTTGAGTTTAGTAAGCTGAGAATCCAAAATTAATTAAAACATTTTTTAAATTGCACAATTAAATAAAACATACCGTTAAACCTCCATAAATTAATATAGTCGGGATTAGAGAAATTCTATTAATTTAGCGAATTATTAAATTATCGAGTTTATAATTTAACACGTTTTCACGAGAAACTATTATTTGATCGAGGTTATTAATTTATCGATGTTCTACTGTATACACAAAATGTATGTAACGCAATAAATACTCAAAGCAACAAACTTTACCTGCACCGCCAGCAGCGGCCGCTGCATCCCCTCCAAATTCAAGACGCCGTTGTACGGCAACAGCTCCTTAAACTTAGAAGTGCCCTCTTCCGCGGTCAGCTCCGCCACCTCCACATCCTCAGCCGAAGCCGCCGCCACCTCAACGCCGGCCATATCATCATCGTACACCACCTTAAAAACCCCATCTTCATCCTTGTCCAACTTCCCAGCCAGCTGGTAAAATTCGTCCAAAACCAAAGCAAGCCCATCTTTCAATTTCTCAACAACCTCGTCGAAATTCTCATGACCACCTTTGTAGATCAGAAGCTTCTGGTTGTAGTAAAAGGCCAAGTAAGGAAGATCAAACGTGACCAACTGACACTCTTTTCTTCCGATATCCGATTTCTTAGGCTTCACATTCGTTGTGCTAATGATTTCAACACTACCTCCCACTTTCTTCTCCTCTGCAACAAGAACAACTTCGCCCGCCATTGATCGAGAAAAACTTAAAAACCTTAATGTATATATTATTATTATTATGGGATCTGTGTTTTTTTTTTTGTGTTTCTTGGATTTGTAAATGGGATTATGGAGAAATGCACATACTTATAGAATGGTTGTCTGATTGTGTAGATGTGGTTGGATTGCAATAAATGGATTCATGGATTGCAGTTGTGACACATTTATTACCCTTTTATTTCATACCCCCCACACTCTGTATTTGGTGGCCGTTGAGTAAATATAATTTGCCCTTAGCCATTTTTCTTGTTACCTCTCTCTCCTCCATGATCTGCAATTAAATGTTGGTGAGAATTAAAGATGGCGCAGCTCAACTTGCTTTTTTTATCCTTTCAATTCTATGCTTTTGACATTTGCTACCAAAGTGAAAGACACTATTATGAAAAGCCGGAGACGGTGCAACAATGTGAAAATCAAAATCAAAATCAAAATCAAAATAGGTGTATAAAAAGTAACATTATAATATTTCCACAATAAAGATTTGCAATTTTTAAGAAATTACTCATATATATATATATATATGATTTGGTAAATGTAATTAGACGTGGAACTAATTCGTGTTACATTGAAAAATAAAAATTGAACTTTAATATGATTTGCAGACACTAATAATGGGACATTTCCTATTTAATTTTATTTGACCTAATTCTGACGAAATAATTGACGATGTAGGTAGCTACACTGCACCAGTCACCAAGTAGCAATAATAATAATAATAATCTATATACGCGGCCAATGAATTTACCGTTTCCACAAATTAT